TATTTTTAGTCTAAAGACATTTTTTCTTGTTTTCCTTGTCCCAGTGTTTAAATCTGCACCCTGTGTATTCAAGAATCCTGCCCTGAGCAAATAGTTCCTGGATGTTTAAATTCATGAAACCCCCCCCCCCCCCCCCGAGTATACAGGTTGCAGCAGAAAATAAATGTTAGAAAGTAAAAAATGAACATTTTTGCCCTTTTTTGGAGCCAAGTCTGCATATTTAGGGAAATGTGTGATAAATTTGAAATGTTTAGGTCCGACATAAGTTTCTCTCCAGGTGTCAGAACTCATAGGTTTGTCGTGATTTAGTGTGTAGCTCCAGGCATACTTGGAAGTATACCGAACCATCCATAAACATTTAGAATTCCCAATATACACCATAGGCTTTTTATTATCTCTTTTTTCTATCCCATATTTTTATTCTTGAAAACATCAACATTATCGTCTTCATGTTTATGTAAAAAAATAAAATTTCACTGATGTCGAAGAATATAAGATCAAAATGAATATAAAGATTTATAAATTCTTAAACTGTTATAAGTCAAATACTAATTCATGAATCGAACCCCTGATTTGCTAAATTTGACTAATTTGCCTAAAATTTTGATTGGGGAACTCGTTAAAACCACAGAAATGTTCATTGGTTCACTAAAAAGTTCCTAAGCTAGAATCATTTAGAATCATTTTATAAGGTCTGCCTTAAAAACATTTCATGCCATGTCAAGCAGTGAATGAAGACATGTTGGAATGAACCTGCATTGTGTATTGTGAAGCATTGTGTGTACATTTTTTTTATCATTTCCCAACACTATCAAGCTCAAAGGAAATCTTTCTTATATTTAGCAGTTGATTAAAGGTAGGAATGGGTGTGCGTGGATTGAGCACCAGCTCTATATAGATCCTAGACCTAGACCTTGGTTTATTTTATGCTCACAACTCAAGCCCAAGGTCCCGCCCCCCTCCCCTACCCATCCTCCCTTTTTGCCCTCGATTCCCATACCCCCCCCTTTCCATCATGTTCATCATTAACCCCCTCCTCCCTTACTCCCTTGGGTTTTTATTTTCCAAAACCCCTGGGACCTCTCTACCTTACGATTTAAATATTGTTCTTAATCCTATTTTAATTCAATATATGTACAGTAGAAAACTTAACTTTTTATTCTTGCTATCTTACTTAAAATAATATTTCTATATCACTAATATTTTATTCGAATTAACGAACAGAAAGTTAAAGATTTGAAACTACTAGAAAAGGCCTAAAAGGAATTGAATCTAAAAATTTTGCGTAAACCTTTGACATTAAAATATTAACATCTCTGATCTAACATATTAAATAGTTTGGAATATCTAAGTTCTACGAATTGCAAAGAAATAGGAATTAGAATATATATATATATATATATATATTGCAAAGACTCAATTCCTGTGTACGCGTATATTATAACATTACCGAACTTACCTTAGCAATTTTCTTTAAATAAATAAATAAATAAATATTTTACCTTTTGACATAACGAGCATTTTACCAGGAAAAAGATCTTTGCGAGCTTTTAATAACATTATTTGTTATGAACAAAGAGGGGGGGGGGCCTAGCCCTTCTCATTTTTAACCCTAAACAGGAGGGGGGGGGGGGGCCTATTACTCTCATTTTAAACCTTAAACACCCTCATTTTTGACACTATTACCGTGAAATTTGTTGACTTTTAATAAATGGAAACTTTAAGGATTATTTGTAAAATCTGTTTTATTTTTTTTATGCTTAGGGTAGGGTACAGGTCGGTAAAAAGTCCGGGCTTTATAAAAAAAATCTAAAATAGCCCATAACTTTTTTGTGGCTAAAGCTACAGATCTAGAAACTATGTTTTTAAAAAGCCCTTTAAAATGGATGTAGAAACATTTGTCACAATTTGATATTCGTTTTAAACAAAAAAGATATTTTTAAAATGTTTTTGATCTATTTTGGCATTTTTTTCAACCCTCCCTAGCACCCAAGCTACAAAAGTTATCGTTCAATTTTTTTCAATAAGCTGTCCTTGAAAAATTGGACAATGGACATGCATTTCACCCTATACCAATTCGCTAAGGCCTTTTTCTAGGGGGGTGCCGCGGGACGCCCCCCCAGTCTATACATAGATTTAGACCCGCCAATCTTTATAGGGTTAACAGTGTAGCTGATATCCATGGTTTAAATAGTGCTTTTTGAAGAATTGCAGGACGTAAAGGATTATTTTTCAATCTTGACAATCCTGAGAAAAAGTTCTATTTGAATTGAATGTGTAGGAAGGCTGGAGGCTGGAGGGGGATTTAACAAATATTAATTGTTTTGTCAAATAATTATTTTTCAACGTTAATTGAATGCAATGTTTTAAGGAGATATTTATTTACATTGCGCAAAACACGTTACAGTTAAAAAGAAACCAGAAATAATCGTGAAAATGACCTTCTGAACTGAATAGTGACCTGAAAGAAAACGTTAAAATATCTGAAATTTATTTATAGTATTAAATTTTGATTAATCTAAAATTGTCACTTAAATGTTAGGGGGGGGGGGGGTTCAGATTTAGTACCTATTTCATTGATTTATTTATTTCATTATTTGTAAAATATTTGGTATATGTATAACGTGGTTGCAAATCTTGATGTCGCAGTTAAACTACCAGCTTGATGAAAAATGTAAAGGTCAAAATGAACTTAATGCACGTAACATGCCCATATTTGATCTAGCTACACCCATTCAGAAAGAGCAAGAGCTAGAGGATATTTATTCGAAAATATTTAAATTCTTAAAGGAACTGTTAACGTAATTCCATGCGACCCTCCAACAGTACTTTTGAAACCATTATCTGTGTGATAATAAAGATGATATCGTTGTTTTGTATTTATTCTAACAATTTCCATTATTGTCTCTATTGTAAGAATCCGGAATAGAGAACCGCCAATTACTTTTCAATTATAATAAATAGGATATCTCAGTATATTTGGACCCGGAAAAGGTTATAAGAACACTGTTGTGAATCCAACTTGACGCTCCAAAAATATGTCCAAATCCTTCTAACACGAATTTTGTTTAAAATTTCTTCATTGCAGTAAACAAAATGTCTGTTAATCTTTAGTAATTGATCATTTAAATTAAATACATCCTGAGATTTTGCGTAAATATTTCTAAAATTTTAACCAATACTTTATTTAGAAAATCATGCAAAATTGTAGATATTGCTAAAATTCCTTGAATTTGATTTATTCCAAGTCTGTTTGTCCTTACTCTTTATTTTAAATTTTCCCACATTTCTAACAATGTCTAAATATAGGTTTAGGAATATGATAGAATTATCTATAGATCTGAATTATCTTAATTTTTATTGATATGTGTGTCAAGATAATTCGATAAAAAACCTTTCTTGATTTGATTAACCCAAGAAACTAGAGGTTTTGTGGTCAAATTAGATGATCAATACGAGATAATATGAAAGATTTTCTGTTCGTAATTTTGATCCAAATGTTCATAATTTTGATCCAAATGTTCATAATTTTGATCAAAATGTTCATAGTTTTGAACATGTGTTCATAGTTTTGAACATATGTTCATAGTTTTGAAAATATGATCATAGTTTTGAACATATGTTCATAATTTTGAACAAATATTCATAATTTTGAACAAATATTCATAATTTTGAACAAATGTTCATAATTACAGACAAAATGTTCATAATTTTGAACAAAATTACGATTAAGTTACGATCCCGATCTATGGGTTCTTCTTGTCTCATTTCTTTCATATATCAAATAAAAGGATATGGATGTTATGGGGAGGTGAGTCATTAAACAAGTTTTTTTTAAATATTTTAATTTTCCCATATTAATTATTAGATGTTGTAATTTGTTTAAAATTTTGAATAATTAACACAAATGCAAAAGAAGAACTGTACGTAAGATTAAAATCTAATATGAATTCGATCGCATTCTAGTTAGTGGTGTAATGAAATTAAAGTGAACATGGGGTTTTTTATTTTGATAAGATAAAACTTGACTCATTCTTAAAAGTTTTAACATAACACAGTCTGCTTAGAAAGATAATATTAAATTTCCAATGAACCCCCACCCCTGTTCTAATTCTTATGGCCCCCCCCCCCCCCCTATTCTATCCATGACCCCCCCCCCCCCCCATTCCTGCTAATTGTTAACCTTTAATTTCCCAAGCGTGTCACGTTTTTGATTCAGTATACCTGGCTGTACAAAGGTTGGTCTAAAATTTGAAATTAATGAAAATTAAAATTAATAAAATAATTGATTACTTATGCCTGCCTGTGTGGAAAGAATTGATTATTCATCAATCAATCAATCAAATATTTCTTGAGTATATATCGAGAACTCGTATCTGGCAAGAAACCTTATTTTTAATATTTCATATTTACTAATTTCCAAGCTGACAGGTTAACTATACAAACACTTCATACACATCTATCAGTAGAAATGGGTTCGTTTCTTATTCGTTATTATTGACTATGTTACTCAGGGGTACTTAGGGGTTACACCAGCTAAAATACATAAATATAAATATACATCCTTACATACAAATATACATATATGAGCGAAGAGATATTTTATTTAGAAGATATAACAAAATATTTGAGTTCATATCTTAAAAATGGCTGTATCAAAATCTATCCCTGCCTAAATGCATTGTTATCCCGAACTAGGCTGAAACTGCATGTAATCAAGGAACTATTTTAGGCAGGCCTAGGATTGGCCTTGGTTATACTCTAAACCCTGTGTTTTCAACTGACCTAGCTTAGTATGATAACTATAGGGTTGCAAAACTGCATGATAATGCGAATTTGAAGTCCGCGTGCCAAAACTTTGCAAGAATCTGGTCGAGCAGTATAATTTGTTAATGTCCCCGACACTATGAAAGTAAATGATTCTCATGAATAAATTTGTTTTTACATTTAAAAACATCTTTACATCATATTTCAGCTTAGAATATCTTACTTTCAGAATAAAAATGTGAACTGGTGCTCACGAAACATGTGAATTTTGAATCCGAGTTAGATTTATTAGATTTAGTTACAGAAGATATCGCATAAACCCATCGATATCTAGTGAAATCTGCGATTACTGCTGAATAGTTAATTTTGCGGATTTTAGTTCAATGAATTTTTAAAAATCCGCCAAGATGCGATTGTGTCTGCTTGTGATTGGATTGAGTCAGCTGTGCGCCGGTCATATAGTTCTAACATGGCCGCCAGCAAGAGAATATGATTTGGACTTTCTAGATAATCAAATAACTAAACCTCCCTGTGGAATGCCTAAAGGTAAGAATAGAAATTTATCCAGACTTTTTTATTATTTTTAATAGTTCATTAATGTAAGCTTTAAAATGTGACAAATCTGCCCCCATGCAGGATGTTAGGATAAGGTAAGTTTTATCCTAAACCATCTGAGACATGCAATACTCAAGTTCAAGACTTAAACCAAGAAATCTGAGCTTCATAAAAAAATAAAGCAACACATCGCAAACTACAAAATACATGTAGTAAATATCGTAGCAATCCCCATATTTATTAACCTGTGCATACCTACATAAACATGAGCTAAGTAACATGATGAAAACCTGCATTGTGATTAGATTAACTACGTTTATATCTATTCATTGCTAATCTTCTAAATTTGTTCATTCAACTTAAACTACGCTGTAAGCATGTGAAGAGATAGCTTAACTACGTTATATCTATCCTCGCTAATTTTGTAAATACATACAATCAACTTAAACTACGCTGTAAGCATGTGAAGAAATAGCTTAACTACGTTATATATATCCTCGCTAATCTTGTAAATACGTACATTCAACTTAAACTATGCTGTAAGTATGTGAAGAGATAGCTTAACTACGTTATATCTATCCTCGCTAATCTTGTAAATACGTACATTCAACTTAAACTACGCTGTAAGCATGTGAAGAGATAGCTTAACTATGTTATATATATCCTCGCTAATCTTGTAAATACGTAAATTCAACTTGGTTTTGTTGAAACTTAATAATTGAGAATGTTGCCTTGTGAATTGGCTTGATTGACTAATTGCTAGTGTTGACACCAATAGTAACAGGATCGCGCCCAGTGGTGGTGGCGTTGATAGTTTACGAGATTGTAGCAGTGTGTTGACATTGATAGATACGGTCCCAGAAACTGTTATGGAGTAGGCATTTACTACACTCATATTTTACAATCTACAATGGAAAGGTGAAATCTACATATTTGTATAAGTTACGAGAAAGAAATAAAATTTCAATGTGTGTTCTTAAGTCTCCCTTTAATGAGATGCCTAGTCGGATAAAAGTCTGGGAGTTAAAGCTTAGTCAAGAGTCTAAATCCGGGTGTTTCAACTTGTGAGTAAAGTAGATTTGGTGTAATGATCATAAAATTAGAATCAGAAGAAAAATTAGTCCCAATCTATATATAAAGGAATTGAGTCTTTGCCTCAAACTCTGATTTTCTAATCACTATATCTTTTGAACCAAATTTTGCATACCTTAGATATTTCAAACTATGAATGCTGTTAGATCAAATAATCTGAGTTTGAAATATTAAAGGTTTACAACATCGAGTTTTAAAGATTTTGAGGTTTAAATATTTGATTTTGTTCCAAAGACTCAATTCCTTTGGCTTGTCTGTCTGTCTTGGTGTTTGTCTGTTTGTTTGTTTGTATCCAATAAACGTCAAAACGGCTGAACTGATCGGGCCCAATTTTTTTGTGGGACATATAGGGACCTCAGAGAAGGTTTATGAATGATCAAAATTTCAAATATTTGTCTCCATCAAAATTCGATCTTCATTAATTTTTTTAAAATTTTGAAAATCCACGAAATTTTTTGTGAAAATCCACGAATTATTTTTGTTTTGTTTTACGATGTACACAAAGAGAACATGTTCGCAATTAATTTAGAAGATGGGCGCGAAGCGCCCTCTAAGGCTAGTATATCTAACTTGGCTTCCATCTTCTATTTCAACTCTGAACATTTCTCTTAGTCTATATATAAATTTGGCTTGTCTGTCTGTCTGTCTGTCTGTTTGTATGTTTGTTTGTATCCAATAAACGTCAAAACGGCTAAACCGATTTTTTTGTGGGACATCACGTGACCACAGGGAAGGTTTATGAATGATAAAAATTAAAAAAAAATGTGTTTTAAAGGTTTTTAATTTTGTAAAAAAATTTAAATTCTTGAAAATCCGCGAATTTTTTTTTAAATCCGCAAAATTTGTTTCTTCTTTGTTTATAAATGTTAACAAAAAGAACATGTTCACAATTTAAATAGAAGATGGGCGCTAAGCGCCCTAAAAAATTGGCTGATTTAATAAAAACATTTCGTGTATTTTCAAAATTTGATGCAAATCGAATTTTGTTGGAGGCAAAATTTTAAAATTTATAAAAAAAAACATTTTAAACCTTCCCTGTGGACATGTTTGGTACCACGCAAAATATTGGCCCGATCGGTTCAGCCGTTTTGACGTTTATTGGATACAAACAAACAAAAAAACAGATAGACACGCAAAGTATAAATATATCTGAAGGCTGAAAACTTATTTTAGAAATTAATAGCAGATTAGTTTTGAAACTATTTTTAGATAAAATTACAGTTTTATACCGTGCCTCATTGGACAAGGATTGGAAATTAGACCAATGAGAGCTCAGCTTCAATTATTTTTATCTACTCAATTCAGATGCTTTAATTAGTTCAATAAGTTTTATATTATTGAAAAGTTTTCGTCTTCAGGTTTTGTTTTGTGTTGAATGCATTTTATAATTACGGGTTTATAATCACATTATTACAAGTTTTCACTACCAAATCTAAACCATAAAACATCATTTGTTTCATTTGATTGTTTTCCACTTGAATGTGCACAGTGGTTCATAGATTTACACACAGTGGATTAATCCATCAATTTTAGATTTAACTAACAGAGTGTCTCTTAAAAAACCTCAATATTAAACCAATTTATTTAGATATCCACATAAAATTTCGATCAAATGATTTTAACAAAAAACATTGGATTTTCAGAACTATGTTTAGCTTAGTACTTTTTCGTTACTTAAATGCTAAAAATAACAATTATCTACTTTGATTCGTCTACACAGCGCGCCCTTTAAAGCTTATACGTCGTTAAAGGAACTGCGTCGACGTAATTTCAAGTCACCGTTTACAAAAACAACATTATGTCCGTTTCACTATGAATCCCCTTTAAACGTTTTCTGAGCTAAAATTGATAAATTCCCATTGTGGTTTCTCTTTAAATATACTTTGTATCGTTGTGAATTGAGCATGCAACTCTTTAAATAGGGGTTTTACCTAAACTTACGCCAACAGTCCCTTTAAATCCTATTTGAAATGTCATTATATCCTGCCTTGTCATTCCATTATAAAGTAATTCAGAAGGAATTATAAAAGTCTTGTTAAAGACGATTTAACAAAAATTGTCATAATATGATTTTAAAATTTTTTGTTTGTTTGAAAAGTCAATAATTACCAATGGAAGTTCTTTCTTTCTAAAGAAAATAGTCTTGTTAAATAGGTTTGTATCTAAGAAACTGGGATTTGCTGTTTTAAAACAAAGCATATGGAATTTTTACTGCAGTCATTTTTGCTCTACGGAATTTTTGGCTAAAATCCATCTTTGTCATTTTTTAAGTGTAAAATCTTTCCTAGCCTGCCTTGTCGCAGCGCTAGGACCCCTTGCCTGTATTAGTTATCAGAGCTCTGCCCTCAAACCTTCCGAAAACGCAGCTCTCGGTTTTGTCTGTGAAGCCTCAGACATGGCCTAGCCTAAATTAGAAAATAAAATTGGAATGTTACGTCGTGTTAAAATAAAACCGAATCATCAAATGTTCTCTTTCACTTTCACTGAATCTACTCTGATTTGTTCTCAGACCAATTCAAATTCTGTTCTCACAATACTATGATGAAATCCTGGAGTTTTAAACATTCTTTTTCAACATTATGGAACTAAACTCTTTCCCTATGTTATAATTTTCAATTCCTTATTTCTTGGCAACCCGATGTCATACACCTAAGATAAGAACTTGTATAAAATGGTGAAAGTTTGAAAAATTTAATATTTACATCGATAGGTTTCAAAGATTAGAGGTTTAAATATTAGAGTTTGAGGAGCTAGTATTCAGTTTCTTTACTGTCATAAACATTTTTTTTTATCAAAGTTGAACTAGTAGCTTGAATTTTTACTTTGTGTTGCATAAAGCAATTATTTTAGTTTTTATTTCAAAACCTTGAAATGCTTTAATTAGAATTGTCTTTGTAATGCCTTCAATCAAGTCGTGGAAACTTTGCTCTAAATAATACCCTCTAGCGACCTAAATAAACTCCTTGATTGGCCTAAATTGTGCAAATGACTTAACTGCTTGACGTTTAGGCCTGTTTTTGCCTGAGACCTGGTGATTACTATTCAATTAGTGGAAAAAGTGTTTGAGGCTAAAGTTCAATTCTTCAAATCCTTTCATTCTCTATAGTTACACACATTATATGTCGCCTTAAATCCAACTCCACCCATAATTCCCTTGCCCCAATTTGATTTACAAAGACTGATTATATGGTTAATATGTTTGAAGAAATCTAGATTTTTTTAATTTTTACCAGAAAAAAAAACCTAAAAATAATAACTTTCATGAATTTTGACATTTAAATTTAATTGTATATTATGAAAGCAAAAGTTATTTATCTGCCTAGATAAAGATTCAAAACATAAAATAAATCGTGACAATTTCTAAATATCAACCATTATTTCCAAATCAGAAATTGTGTACTTAAAAAGCAAAATTGATTTTATTTTTTACTTAAAATATTTACAATTTACATTCTTTACATAAAACTGTATGCTCTATTGAAAGGGAGTGACCGGCAATGTATGGTAGTTTAACTGAGAATACAGTCTTGTAAATAAGTTTTTTATGATTCATTTGAGACCTATCAGAAGTTTTTAAGGTGCATATTAGTTCCGGAAGAGTGCAAATTTAATTTTTTAAATCCTCCTTCATTGTCCATTCTGGAGAGATGTTTTGAGAATTGGTTTTTTAAAAATTGTTCAATAACCACGAAAAAAATTGTAACAAAAATTGTAAAGTAAACTAACTGGATGTTTTATAGGAACATATTTCTCAATAGAAATTTTCAATAAATTAATGTTAGAATCAATTATTTCCTTTAAATCATTACATTGAATTTCTTATTCTTCACACATTTGTTCGCAGATTTCTTCAAATTCTTCAACAGTCGTCTTTTCAACACAGAAAATGTTTGTGAACAATGAGACATTACAGAAACTTATAGCTGAATAAGATTTGTTATTGAACATGGTAATTTTTGTTTTCTCAATCTGTTCCTAAACAACTTATTAGTTTACTATCGAATTTTCGTTACATTTTACGTTATCGTCATTGAATAATTCTTATCAAACCGATTCTCAAAATCAGCCCTCAAACATGGACAATCTATGAGGATTTTAAAGATTGAATTTGCGCTCTTGCTGAACAAATATGCACCGTTAAAACGTCTGATACATCTTAAATGAATCCTTATAAAAATACTACATTCTTAGTTCAACTATAATACATTGCAGGTCACTCCCTTTAAGCAGAAATTGGTTTTAGTTAAAAATAAAAATCTTAACTCTAGAATAAAATTGTAGTTTGTTTTTGCCCAAGAATTATTTGTTTTCACTTTTATCGCTGGAGATCAAATAAGAACGTAAAAAATTGTTTACAATTATTTAAAATATGTTTTGTTTCAGGAGACAGAAGAACATCACTGTTAGCGGGGTCTGACGTAAATATAACGTGGCATATTGCATACCCACATAAGGTAAAACACATTTAATGTTTAAAATCATAAATATTTCAATTCATTCTCAAGGTTTATTTTGGTATCGTATTAAAAACCCCGCAAAATTAAGATCTAATCGATTCAGATTTTTGTGTTAATCGATCTGTTTTATCTTTCAACCCCCCCCCTTGCCTGGCCCTGCATCTCTATATTTTGGTTTGCATCCTACAATCCATCCATCAAACTTCCATCCATCCATCCTATCCCTTCTATCTTCAGTGTACATATACTGACATCTAGGGTTCGTATCTTGAAATACAATCGATTACTTTCCCAGCCTACCCAGCCTAGTGCCTACCCACTACTATTGTAAAGATTTATCTATATGTAGTATAGAAGCTATATAGTAGGAATAACCATTGACTTCTAATAGGGTAATATATTATCTACAGTGATTTTAGCCGGGGGAGGGGGTAAAAAACTCCCCCCTGGTGATCTTTTTTGCGTAGTTGGTCCTATTTTCTAAATTCACCATTTTCATATTTTCTCATTAAAAGGGCAGATGATGTTATTTCAAGTGACCTTATCCATCCAGAGAAGCATTCTGATTCACAACGGTACCCTTTTATCTGGTCAATAATGTGAAATATACCGTCGGGTAAAATTTTCTACTAATATCTCCTTTGGTTCTTTCGCAGAACTGCATAAATCGCTTGATAGAGAAACCACAATTGAAAATAATCATTTTTTTAAAGGAACATGTTGGATATCTCATTCATTAGACAGAGCTGTTAAGAGTACCGTTGTCAATCGGACATGGCGCTCTAAAAATGGATGGTCACTTGAGATCATATCCAGAACAGGAAACACTTATTTCCATCTTCTTTATATTAACTTTATTTATTGTTAATTTTTCATCTCTTACAGCTAGGTTAGTAGTCGACCAAAACAAACTGCAACAGTTATTTTAATGAGCATGATTTCACACCTACACATCTAATCCCTTATATGGATTAAAACATCTTTACAATGAACATATAATATAATACATGTATATATGTATGTGTGCTTTTTTGTATCCAATTAACATATCATATTGTAGTAGTTAAAGAACCCGGCGTTGTCCGTGGAAATTTTTTTTTAAAAAATGAATAAAAAAGTTTTCAGAAAAAAATCGATTTTTTAGCCTATAACACCCCCCGGCCTCCCATGAGTGTCCAAAAAAATTTTTAGCCGAATCAGTCCAACCGTTTGGCCATCTTTACTCAATATATATACGAATGTCTTGTTTATTTTATAGATTACTAGCTGAAGGGCCTGGCGTCAACCGTGGAAAAAAAGTTTTGAATAAAAAAAGTTTTAAAAAAATTTCGATTTATATAACCTAACACTCCCCGGCCACCCATGATTGTCCACAAAAAAATTCAGCCCAATCGGTCCAACCGTTTGGCCGGCTATACGCAACATATATATATTTATATATATATACAAGAATGTCTTGTTTTATTATGTAGATGGTGAGAGTGATTCAGTGTTACTTAAATATTGCATTTACGATGCGCTGTATCATCTATTTTTATAACAATATATTAATCTATATATATATATATATATATATATATGCAAGAATCTAATGTTTATCTATCTATCTAGCTTTTCATTGATATATCTATTCATAAATCTATTTTGCATCTGTCTACATCTATCCAAGAAATATGTATCAGAAAATCCCAAAGCTCTGTTTACATATAAGTGTACTGCAGTTTCTTGGAGGAATATAAACAAAGCTGCACCCAAGCAGTGCTGCGTTTGTTTACATTTCTTTCAGAAACTGCAGTACACTTTATTTGTGACAAAGATGCGCCCAAGCAGTACTGCGTATATTTTCATTCCTTTTAAAAACTGCAGTACCTAGTATAGTAAACAAAGCTACAGGATTTTAGGTACAGTTCTTCACTCTATTTATCTATTTTTATCTGTCAAGTTATAAGATATCTATCCATCTATCTAGGGAGGTTTCCGTCTTGAACTCCTGGATCCATCTGAGAAGCCCCTACTAGATCTAACCCCCCGAAGTAATGAGTCCGAGTTTATTGGTGGAGATCCAACAGCAATCAACTACATGGTCAATCTTCCAGACGATTTGGAGTGCATAGACTGCACAATTAGGTTAATTTTATATCTGATGCAGTAGACTTTGGATTTTTTATGAATTCTTCCAGAACAACGTTTCAAAGTTTGTAATATCAGGTTTCAAAGATATGGGGATAAGAAAACTAGAGTTAATAGATTTCATATTTTTTTTTTTGGG